AACCCATTCTTTTACTCTAATTGGGTCGTGAATGTTTCCAAGAGCCCAATGGGCCGAAAAACCTTATGATTAGGATCCAAATGTCCTAGCTAAAGTTAATGGGCCCAAACTACCCCACCATTTCTTCTTGGCCCAAATATCGGCCCATGTTTAAACCAAAAAAAAAGATTAAGGGGGGGGGGAGGTTGACTTCGAATGCCACCTCCATATTACTCACCATATATTCATGCAAGGACCAACATGTTTCCATGCAAGTCACTTCAAGACTTCTCTCTCCACTCTCTTCTTCTTCTCGGCCGAGAGTCACCAAACACACACACACATTACACAAATTCTCTCCATTATTCTTAAAGAATCATCCCCTTCCTCCCTTCAAAGAAATCTCGAAAATTTAGCTTGTATTCAAGGATCTTCATCAAGTGTTGTCAATCTTTGGTAAGTGCTATCAAACACAAACATCTTCTTTCATTTCAACATCTAGAACTCTTTCTTACAAAGCTTTACTCCATGAACACCTTAGAAGCTTCTTAAGTTCGAAATCAACTCAAGGAGGCTTGCTAGGACCAAAAATCTTCTTCATTTCTCTTCAAAACTGAAACATCAAAGCAAAGGTGAGTTCATACCCCCTTGTTTTCGGTTTTACATGATTTTTGGGGGAGAATACAAGTAAAATATGTAGATCTGTGTGTTATATGCATGTTTTGTGTGAATCCTTAGTTTATTTGGTAAAAAAATGTGTTAGATCTTAGTTTATCTCGAAATTTTAAGTGTATGTAACAAAGATCTAAGAACTACAACACTATATACAACATATTATCAAGCCAAAAGTGAACATATGTGTAAGATGCAAATTAATTCAACAAAAATCTTGTTAAAGGTTAAAAAATTGTCAAGAAAACAAAAGATGAGGGTAAAAAGTGAAAATTATGTTTTTAAAAGGGCCAAACTGGTCCTACATGTATAAAAGGGTATTTTTATGCTAAACATGCTTTTATAGGGATCAAAAATGCAAATTTAAGCTTATTAGGCCAAACCTTTGGGCCCAAATTGCGAAAAAATGAGGTTTTGAGGTATAACAATGTTATTTGGCCAAAGTTTGAGTCATAAATGTAAATAAACCAAATTTAGAGGTGAAAATGTCATTTATTTTCAAATTGGACCAAAAATGTAAAGTTTTTCAAAATTGGGCCAAAAATGTAAATTTTTACAAACAAGGGGTTGAAAATGTATTTTTCTGCAAAACAAGGTTCTAAATGTGAAAACATAACATTTTGGGTTAAAACTGTAAGTTTCTAGACATTTGAGGACAAAATTGCAAACTTTTATAAATTATGGACTAAAGTGTCATTTTTACAAAACTTTGGGCCTTAATTAAAGATTTGAGTATTATTGGCCAAAAATGTCATTTTTACAAAATGAAAGCTTTTTATCATTAATCTATTAAGCGTCGAACTAAAACAAACAACCGAATCAAACGAACGAACGAAATACGTCAAAAACTATTTATTGGGCCCAATATTCACATTTCTTGGCCATTGAGCTCTAAGGGCCCAATTGAGTGTGAAATGAGCCCAATGTTTTCCACGACATGTTTGTTGGGTCTTGTGGCCCACTTACATGTCAATCTGGGCCTAAGTTATGGATTATATGTTTATTAGGCTTTTGTGGCCCATTTACATGCCTATTGGGCCTAAATTACCCTTATACATGTGATTGGGCCTTTGTGGCCCAATTTCATACTAATAGGGCTTGTAATGGAAAATTTCATGTGTTAGTAAGCCGTAACGATACCCTTATAAAATCATAAAACTCCATAAATTTATTCAAGTACTTTTCGAATACAAAAACATCTCACAAATATGTAAACATTAAACATAATACAAAAGAGGTTAAGAATCTAGTGAGACTTGTCGGCTGACACCACTGAGTGTACAACCGTAGCCTGTAGTTATAATCAGAGTTTCCTGGTAGGAAAGCGGGAGTTTGTGTATAGATCTATACGGGGTGACCCCCTACGCCTTAGCTGCTCGCTACAGCTAGACTAGGCCAGTCTAGGGCGACAACATCCTTAGTCAAGACCGGCATTTGGAAAAATACCAAGACGGGCGACCTAGTCATTATCATGCATGGTTATAAAGGCTCATATAGGGATTCTATACCAAAAGATAACCTTTTGAAGATAAACTCTTTAATTGCGTTAGTGCAAAACAACTTATTTAACGATACAAGAATTTAGACATTGTTATAAAATAGAAAATATCGGATTTTCTGGGGGAAATTATTCATATACATTTATCATTTACTCACAATACAATGAAACTAAACTACTATTTTATAAACTATAACTATGTAATTCACACATGCATTTATACTTGATTTTCACAATATTTTCAGACATTTTACAGAAAATATCGGATTTTCTGGGTTTTTATGAAAGATACAAAGACTTTTACTCAAACATACTTATGAACTCACCAACATTATATATGTTGACCGTTTTCAAAATAACTTGTATTCTCAGGTAATCGTTAAGCTGGACGATATGCAAGTGTATGGTTTTGTTTATGTAGCTTCACTTATCGTACTTTGAACAATTAGAACTTATTATTTTAACAATGTACTTGATGTAAACAATGCCAGTTGTAATATGTAATGTTGGTGATGAATGTGTTATGCTTCATGTATATTCATTGTGATGATTATTCAATTGTTAGTCACACGAGCCCCCGGACGTTTCCATCGTCCGGTTCGGGGGTGTGACAGTTATCAGTGAAACCCATAAATTTAACTCGTAAACCAATGTCAATTGATGAATTCGTCACCAAAAAGCAAGCTTTGAGTTGGGGAAAGTTGTAAAACTGAACTCAAAACTTGATGTCATAACCTCCTAACCTGCGAAGTAACAAGCATCGGTCTCCAAAAAAACCCCTAAAAAGCAACCAAAATTTAAATAAAACACACCAAATGAAATGAATGATCCAAGGCTAAAGTAGGTATCCCTTTTTATAGCTTTCCAATTCTTCATGATCTAATTTGACAATTAGGCAGTGAACTAAACATACCATGTCTACAAAGCAATACAAAGCTAATTCTTCATATATTATGTTGTTATGGTTTTGTTTAATTTAGAAATGTTGTGTTTGTAGTTATTATTTTTATAGGGTCTACATTAGACCATCCATTATACCCATCACTAACCACTATAGTGGTGGATGCCACATCATCACCACTAACTATCACTAAACCTATGAAATACCCACCACTGCCACTCCACTCCACATCATTTTTTTTTACTTTTTTTTAATTTAGAAATACAATAAAAAATAGGGTAGGTTTTGTTAATATGCGAAAATCTAAGGACTGAAACTAAAAATTTCAGAAAATTTTGATCATCTCTTTCCCTCTAAAGTGCAGAACCCGTCTCCTCCTCTTTCCCTATTGGCCGTTGCCCTTCGTTGTGTACACCACAATTGACCACGAACACGGAAGACCACGAAACACCAGGGTGGTTTGCACGAAGGTTTTCCGTGGCCAGCTAGACCACGACCGGGTTCGTGGTCTAGCATACCAGATGGCCTTAGAGTTTGTTAAAAATTGATATGTGTAAGTTAAAACGTGTTAAATCTTTTGTGGTTATTATCTTGTTAACTGGGATTGGTCCACTAACCAGTTCTTTTTCCTCTAATCGGTTCTTTTTTTCTAAGGCCGGACGGAGTGGGAGCGGGGCAGGGTCGCAGGGGGGTTCCCGCCCGGCAGAACACTGCACCGTCGGTGCGGGGAAGGGTGGTGCGGGAATGGGTGAGGGAAACCTCTCCCGCGTTCTCTCTCCTGCTGTGATTGGGTGTTATTTATTTTTTTTATTATTTTTTTATTATTTTTTTTTTGAAATTCAACCGTTATTCAACGGTAAAAAAAAAGAAATAAATTTTTTTATTTTTTTTGGGCTGCAACGGCTAAATGGATTTAAATCTATTTTTTTTGTTTTTTTTAACCTTTTTTTGGGCTGCAACGGCTAAACGGAAAAGCGGCCAAGGGGACGAGCAAATACTTCAAGAAGCTTTGCAGTTTTACCTTGAAGATGTCGGAAAACCATTCAAGTGGCACGATTGTTGGAAATTATTGGTTCGATGTCCTAGGTGGAAAAAATACGAGCAAGATTTTATTTTTGGAGTCCAACAATCAAAGCGAACGAAAACGGGCTCTAGTGGTTACACAACCTCCTCCGATGCTCGGGTCGGTCTAGATTTAAATCAGGATGACGAACTCGAGCTAGAAGAAATTGTCCGCCCAATGGGTAGGGACAAAGCGAAGAGAAAGGGAAAAGAGACTTCTTCGGGTGCATCTGATTTCAGCGTGAGCATTGACGAAATGCGGAAAATAACATCGTCGTTTGATCGATATAATCTTAATTTCTCCGAACGTTTGGCTTTCGACAAAGAAAAAGAAGAAACAAGGAAAAAGGAGCGGACGAAGAGACAAGAAATGGAGGATATGAAGTTTTTGATGGAAAACATCGATCATCTCTCGGGACCGACTTTCGATCTCGTGATGAAGAAGAGGGAAAAAATTATGAAAAAATATTTTTCGTAGGTCGTTGTTGGTTTGTTTGATTTTTAGTTTGTGTGTGTGTGTGTGTGTTTTTTTTTTAATTTTCTAGTTTTTTAAATTTTAGGTTTAATGTGAGTTTTATTTTAATTAATGAAATGTTTTTTTTAATTAAATTTTATATTTAGTATTAATTTAAAAATTATAAATCATAAAAAAAACTTATTTAAAAAAAAAAAAAGAGCGAGAGAATGGGCTTCCCACCTATTCCTTGGGTTTTAACCGAAGGAAAGAAATGCGAGGGAAAAGGGGTATGCCCACAAAAAGGGTCCCATACCCTCCAGTCTAATAGGTTCATCTCTTACCTAGTTACCTTGCTGCTCGAAATATACACCTCTAAACGGAAGCACATCAAATTTCAAATGTTAAGTAAAAAACAAGACTGGAATTCGACTATGGAGAACCTTCCAGGTGAAATTTTATCAAACATATTCCTCCGATTATTGGCCAAACAGCTTGCTCAAATGAGGTGCGTCTGTAAACCTTGGAATGCTCTTTTATCTGAATCCTCCTTTGTAAAATCCCACCTTCATCATTCTGTCCATCACAAGGATGAGATTCTCTTGTTCTTCAGCCGGGCATTTTCTTTTTACCGTAGTCCATTCACAGCACACCCCTCTCGTTCCCCCGATGTCAAACTCGAACCGACTAGTTTCATCTCACTCCCGGTTAATCCCCAACCTGAATATACTTATGGTAACATCATTGGATCTGTGAATGGCTTAATATGCTTTTATTACGGACCAGTTTCTTTGCCTTATGTAATTTACATTTGGAACCCTTCTCTATCGGTTGTGTTAACTCTCCCACCATGTTCTTTGCCCTTGGGTGATTTTTTGACAAAAAACCATTTTCGGTTTGGGTATGATCCAAAAACCGATGATTATAAAATTGTGAAGTGTTAAGATTTATGGAGTCTTGAACAAATTGACAAGTTCCTAAGAATTCAAGGGCCATAAATGTAACTTGACAAATATTAAACAATTCAATTGTTTAATATTGAATGGACGTACATGTCGGCAAATCAATTGTTTATTATTTGGACGCATCTTTTGCATGGTCAAACAATGGACGGCAAGAAATATTAAATTATTAAATGATGGCTCATTTTTCTCAATTGCGGCAATTTTGTCAATATGGACGGCAAATTTGTGTGAATCAAGAAAAGTTTACGGCACATCTCCTATATATATATATATATATATATATATATATATATATATATATATATATATATATATATATATATATATATATATATATATATATATATATGTGTGTGTGTGTGTGTGTTGTGTAGCAGAGAATGTGTGCATCAAATATAACTTGTAGAGTTATAAATTGTAATCTTATTAAGTTAATAAGAAAATCTAGTTGCAGCCCGTAGACGTAGGATTTACACCGAATCAGAACCACGTAAAATCCTTGTGTTCTTTATTGCTTTATTTTCTCGTTTCGTTTGTGAGTGTGTGATAGTGTTTCCGCTGCGTGTACCCTGTCTCAATTCCTAACAATTGGTATCAGGGCCTGGTTAGCGAGGTTTTGGAGGGTACGATCGTTTTTTCTGTCACACACGAGTGTACCTAATTTTTTTTTGTTTGCCGTAATGGCTGAAGACAAGATTATAATCGAAAGGTTCAATGGTTCTGATTTTAGCTGGTGGAAAATGCAATTAGAAGCATTGCTATGTCAGAAAGACTTGGACATGGTACTCGGAGACAAACCGGAGAAAATGGAAAAAGCTGCTGAAGATGCGTGGAACTCAAAGGACAAGAAAGCCAAGGCGGTTATTACATTGTCGTTGACGAAGAGTGTTGCTTTCAACATCATGAATGAAACCACGACGCGTGGTATGATGGAGGCTCTGTCAAATATGTATGAGAAACCATCGGGGGCTAACAAGGTGTTCTTGATGAAGGAGTTGTTCACTACAAGGATGAATGAGGAAGGCTCAGTTACAGTTCACATTAATAATCTAAATTCAATTCTGTCCAGATTATCATCTGTGGGAATTAAATTTGATAATGAGACGCAAGCTTCGCTGCTACTAGCTTCTCTACCTGATAGCTGGTCCGGAACAGTTACTGCTGTTACGAGTTCCGTGGGGACCAGTGGTATGACTTTTAAAGGGGTTAGAGATTTGGTTCTAGGCGAGGATATCAGACGCAATAATCAAGGTGGATCTTCCTCTTCTGATTTATTAAATGTCGGAAGAGGTAGAGGGAATAGCAGGAGCAGTGGGAGTCGGGGAAAAAGTTCTTCTAGAACTTTGAAGAATGTGAAATGCTGGAACTGTCAAGAAGTGGGACATGTTAAGAGTCAATGTCCAAAGAAAGAATTGAACATTGCTGGTGCTGAGAGTGTGTCTGAGGATGATGCATTGATACTCAGTATGGAAAGTTCTGTAGACTCTTGGGTCATGGATTCAGGGGCTTCGTTTCACGCCATGGACAACGGAGAAACGATGGTGAATCTAAAAGAAGGAGATTTTGGAAAGGTACGTTTGGCAAATGACGAGATGCTTCAGGTAACGGGCATGGGAGATATTGATCTAGTTACTTCATTAGGAACTACATGAAGCCTGAAGAATGTCAGGGTTATTCCGGAGCTGAAGAAAAAATTGATTTTTGTTGGTCAGATGGATAAACAAGGACTGGAAGTAAGGTTTGGTGGTGGTAAATGGATGGTGGTCAATGGTAATTCGGTGATTGCTCAAGGTTTGAAGCGTGGGTCATTGTATATGGTTGAGGTACCTGCTGAGGGAAGTATGACCATCCCGATTAAGCAAAACAAAATCTGGTTCGCTAAATCTACTGCTAAGAGAGTTCATTTTGCAAACATGAATTCTGGAGCCAAGGGGATGTTAGCTGAACGAGTCGGAAATTCTAAACCATTCAGGGGATTCTGTGACAGTGGGAGCACGGGGTGTGTCCCGGGTACAGTTACAAAGAGCCGTTGGGTTTTGAAGACTAAGACTGGAAAATTCTCTCTTGTTGGAAGTTTGCAAAGTTTGGAGAGTGTTAGTGGTCCTCGGTGTATCTCTGGATCTGGTGGAGTGTCCAAACCGGTTGAGACAGAGGATGAGTCGGTGGTGGGATTAGCCACGACTGAGTTGGAGCTAGTGGGAGCTTCAACTGGCCCTTCTAGTACTTGAAGATGAGGGGCGGCTGCAACTAGAGAAATCAGACTAAGTTTTAGCTTGTTCATTGGAACTGGAAGCCTAAAAGGACTTGGTTGTTTTTTAAGATTACTGGAATAATTGAGAGTTGAATGGCGGAGAAAAGCTAAAGTTGTTCAAGCCTCCAAGTGGGAGATTGTTAAGATTTATGGAGTCTTGAACAAATTGACAAGTTCCTAAGAATTCAAGGGCCATAAATGTAACTTGACAAATATTAAACAATTCAATTGTTTAATATTGAATGGACGTACATGTCGGCAAATCAATTGTTTATTATTTGGACGCATCTTTTGCATGGTCAAACAATGGACGGCAAGAAATATTAAATTATTAAATGATGGCTCCTTTTTCTCAATTGCGGCAATTTTGTCAATATGGACGGCAAATTTGTGTGAATCAAGAAAAGTTTACGGCACATCTCCTATATATATATATATGTGTGTTGTGTAGCAGAGAATGTGTGCATCAAATATAACTTGTAGAGTTATAAATTGTAATCTTATTAAGTTAATAAGAAAATCTAGTTGCAGCCCGTGGACGTAGGATTTACACCGAATCCGAACCACGTAAAATCCTTGTGTTCTTTATTGCTTTATTTTTTCGTTTCGTTTGTGAGTGTGTGATAGTGTTTCCGCTGCGTGTACCCTGTCTCAATTCCTAACATGAAGCTTACAAGTGTTGTACCACAAGTTGAGATCTATAGCATGAGAAAGGGTTCCTGGGACTTAATTACTCAAACGTTTCCATTGCACATCACTCTAATTAGGAATCAACCCGAGGTTTGTGTAGATGGGCAAGATGGCCATCTTCATTGGCTTTGTTATACTAATTTTGAGTGGAAGCTACAAATGGTAGTGGCATTTGATTTTGGCACAGAGACCTTCCGTGAGATCCTTCTTCCAGATTCTATACGACATCACCATGAATACCTCGTCTTGGGAGTTTTGGGTGGAAAGCTGTGTGTGATGTCAAGGGTTGGAGATGGTGAATGTGAGGTGTGGGTGATGGATGAGTATGGGGTGGCTGATTCATGGGTCAAACATCATGTGTTTTCCGAGTTCAGTGGTGTACGTGGGATATTCCCATGTGGAACCACATTACGCAGTGAATTCCTTTTTCAAGTTGACCGTGATCATTTTGCTTTGTATGATCCAATTGCAGCTGAGCCTAAAACCTTTGAAGTTATGCATGGTCTATATGGCATAGCTAAAATTGTGGGGTATGTTGACAGTCTCATTTGGGTAGCACCTGGTCATCATGAGAGGAGCGGTTGCATCATCTCTCAGTGTTAATTTTGAATGGTCAAAAGGGCTAAAAAGGCAACACATCGAATCTGCTTAGTCTATCTGTTGTGATAAAAACTCTGCATGATGATATGTCTCTCCATTAGTTTCCTGTCAAGTATCAAGTTTTAGTGCATTACATGTTTACCATGATGCGTTTAACATTTGGATATGTTGGTTGTTTTATTGTTTCTTTGTCTATCTGTTTCTGTTTCCTTGACCTAATTTTAGTGGGCTCAAGTCTTCTAATGGGGGAGATAATTTAATTTTCTGTTTTTTAATGAGATAATGTATGTCTATAGATCTTGATTAAACACTAGCTTAGATGATGAAAATCATATCTTCTAAAAACACTAAAGGTTTGCAGAGGATATAAGGTAGCTGCTGGAGTAGTCCATCTTACAGTGGAGGTAAAGTCTTTAGATTGGATTCCTGTGTGTGGAGTTGAAGGAAATTGAAAGTGTTGTTGACAATTAATGCTGAAGATTTTTAATTACCTAGTCTTGCAATGTTGTTTTGCATATGTGGGTATGGATATGGAGTTCACACATCCATTATTTCTTAATTTTAGCTATAGCAATTAGCAAGCATGTGCCTCTTAGAAACGTCATTTTGTGAATTTGTTGATAATTTCACAACCTCATTTTGTTAATTTGTTAATAGTTTTAAGTCCATATTTGAGCATCTTGTGGATGGGTCATCACAGCTATAACTAATATTATTAGGAAGAGGATCTAGTTTAAATAGTTGTTAGTTGTTTGTTGTGGTGCTTTTTCCTTCACAAGATTATTAAACTGTGTGCAGTGATAGCTACTAAAGCAATTCTGACAACTAATATCGAGCTCAGTGCATTTCTTGATTTCTTCGATTAAACCACGTGTGGATTACTTGATTATTGCAAATTGAACATATTGCCTTCTTTTTGTTCTCTTAAGCTTAGGGGTGGCAAATGATGATACAACACGAAATGAAATCGGGATGAAATTGAAAATCGAATTCGTGTTTGTGTCGTGTTCATGTCAAGTGTAAACACGATGTCGTGTCGTATCGTCTTCGTGTTCAAAATTCGACATGAAATTGACATGATTTAGCATTTGTTTGTCGTGCTTTTGTGTTTTTCGTGTTTGTCGTGTTATCTATGATTAAATATTAATTAAATAAACTAATTGTTATATTATGTTATCTTTGTCGTGTCGTGTCGTGTCGTTTTTAATTTGTTCGTTTTCATGTTAATTAAAAAAACACGACATCATGTCATGTCGTGTTCATGTTACATAAAACCTTGTTGTGTCGTGTCAGACAAAAACACGACATGATGACCCAATTTGCCACCTCTACTTAAGATACACAAACACGACACAATGACCCGATTTACCACCCCTACTTAAGATATACAAATGCTTATTGTTTGAAAACACCAAAGCTGCATTAAATGATCTATAGATTGGGCCGAGGCACTTGTCTTCTCTGATACTCATTGATGTCTGCTTCTATTCTCCCACATTACCCTTGGCGATTGTTGATTCTACTTTGATTTTTGGGTACTGGTTTGGTACACAATCTTCGGAGTTGTTATAAATAAGTTAGAAAGGTTAAGCGGAAGAAATAACAACATACTTTGTTGATTTGTTTGTTGGAGCATCATATTTTCATTTCTACATGTTACAGTGTTGTACTTCTGGAAAATTTACTTGATTAGAGCACTATTCATCCATATTAAAGGCTATTTTCATTCCTTATAGAAAAAGAGTTAGAAGAAGTATCCAAAAACAATTTGATGTTGATTTTGTATTTGTGCTGTCGTACATTGGCTGGATACCACATAAACAACTAAACTGAGAAATATCATTGTAACTGGTTATTGGCTCATATTTGTAATTTTGTTGAACATAGGGACCATTCTGTACTTTTATGAAATGGAGGGACTTATGTAACTTTGTGAAACACAAGGACCATTTATGTAAAAGAATTATTAGATAGGTAGCATTTCTGTAATTTTATAAAAGACAGGACCATTCCTGTAAATTCTTTATTAGGCAGGTGCCATTTCTTTAAATTCTTTATTAGGCAGACATCATTTCTGTAAATTTATAAAAGACAGGACCAATTTGTGAATTATTTTCTAGGCATGGATTATTTTTGTAAATTTATGAATCAAAATCTCAAGTGGAAATATCTTAACTCCCGTTTGATATAGGTCCCCTTCTAACTGTTTTTTCTTAACTCCATTTAGAAGGAAGCACATTAAATTTCGCGGAAAAGGGAAAAAGAAGACAGAAAAGAACCTTCCATGTAAACACGAATAATAGTAAAGTAAAAAGCGATATTCGCGTTTACTTCACTGGTGTTTACATTGCTTTGTTTGTCACACGCTTTCTACTCTGGTTTCTTGATTTCTTTCTCCGAGGTACATAGCCCTCCTTCAGACCTTCACTGTCGGCGATATCTCCTCCACCTCCGTCACCATCGTTGGTTACTGTACCCCGGCCTCCCTCCTTTACCATCATCGGCTGCGATTACGGACTTCCCCTGCTTCACAGTTGTGGCCTCACCGGCGATTAACTGGTTAGCGTTTTTTGATTTACAACAAGCGTTGAAAAAGGGTATTCGCGTGTGTTTGACTATTTTCTACTGCTGAGGTGTTCAAAGACTTCATGTATTTGCCTATTTGCTAATTGCTACTGTATTAACTATCTAAACTGATTAGTTAAGCAAGATTACTTGACTGTTTGTCTGTTTGAAGCTATTGTTGCAAGCTTGGGCTGTCAGTTTGAAGCTGTTCACCAGTGACATGCTTTTGGTTCCATGGTTCTCCTTCGTTAATATGTTCAAAATGATATCATACACTTTAAGCTTAATCTTTCTATATTAAGGTGCCAAATGTCAAATTCTTCAATCAAAATTTGTACAGTATATGTTTATATGTTTCGTTCTGACTTATGGACGCATTCTTTATATGAACGTTCTCATTTGAATTGATTCTGTAAAAGTTTACGTTGAGTTGGTTGTGTCAAATAAAAGGACTGAATTTCGGATATCAAAATCCACTATTTGAACACCTGAGTAGTGGTGCTAATGGGGCACGTATGTTTCTCATTGTGGTTCACCTTTGTAAGGGCAGGATTAAGAACTTCTAACCATACAATTAGGCAATAAATTCACCCTACTATGCCTACAAATCAATGTATACAGAGCTGCATCTTGAAATATGTTGTTATTGGGTTCCTTTTTAGGTTGTGTTTAACTTCAAATGTTCTTTGTTTTTTTAGGGTTTATGTTACGGTTTGTTGAAAATCGATATGTTGAAGTTAAAATGTGTTGATCTTTTTTTTTTTGTTTTTTATCTCGTCAATTGGGATCGGGCCTCCTCTAATTGGACATTTTTTAACCGGTTCGCCTGTTACCTTGCAGCTCCTCAGCTCTTAAACCCAAATATACAACCTCGAAGTGGAAATGTGGAATCACATAAAGTTTCTGCTGAAAAGGAAAAACAAAGACAGGAGAGGAACCTCACAGGTGAAGTTTACTGTGACACTCGAAACGGCTTCACCTCAACACCCAGAGACTATAGAAAAGCTCCCAAGCGATGTTTTATCAAACATATTCATCAGGTTATTGGCAAAAGAAATTGCTCAATTGAGGTGTGTCTGTAAATCTTGGAATGCTCTGTTATCTGAATCCTCCTTCATAAAATCCCACCTCCATCATTCAATCCATCACAAGGACGAGATTCTGTTGTTCTTCAGACATGCATTTTCTTTTGACCGGAGACCATTCACAGCACACACCTCTCATTCTCCCGATCTCGAACTGACTAATTTCATCAAACTCCCGACCAGTCCCCAATCTAAAGACACTAGGGGTGATATTATTGGATCTGTGAATGGCTTAATATGCTTCAAATACGGATCATATGATTATGCAATTCACATTTGGAACCCTTCTCTGTCTATGGTATTAACTCTCCCTCCATATTCTTTGCCCAAGGGTGAGTGGATGGTAAACCATTTCCGGTTTGGGTATGATCCCAAAACTGATGATTACAAAGTGGTGAAGCTTACAAAACTTTCCGGTGCAATCAGCATGTTATCACAAGTTGAGGTGTATAGTATGAGAAAGGGTTTGTGGCAGTTGATAACTCAAAGGTTTCCAGCGAACATCAAATGGGTTTCCGATGAAGAGGTAGTTTGTGTAGATGGGCATGAAGGCCATGTTCATTGGCTTGGTTATACTGATATGGAGCAGAAGTTACAAACGATATTGGCATTTGATTTGGGTACAGAGACATTCCGTGAGATACCTCTTCCAGATTCTATACTACATCTCCATGAAGAGTGCCTCAATGCGATGGGAGTTTTCGATGGAAAGCTTTGTGTGATGTCATGCATTTTTGAAGCTGGTAAATGTGAGGTGTGGGTGATGGAAGAGTATGGGGTGACTGAATCATGGGTCAAACATCATGGGTTTTCCCAGTTTAGTGCTGATATAGTTCCATATGGATTCACATTACGTGGTGAATTTCTTTTTCAAGTTGATGAAGATGCTAATGATGATTGTCTTGTTTTGTATGATCCAATTGCAGCCAAGGCTAAAAACTTCAAGAAAATGGGTAGAATAACCATAAGTAAAGTTGTGGAGTATGTTGATAGTCTTGTTTGGGTAGTACCTGAGGAGCGTGAGATAAGCTCCTGCAGCATCTCCCAGTTTTAATCTTGAAGCTTCACTTTGTTTCCTGTCAAATATCAATTCTTAGTGCATTACATCTGCATTCTCTCTTGTCATCATGATGTGTTTAACATTTGGACATGTTGGTTCGTTTTTAAATTATTTTTTGGTATTCATATTTTGTTTATATTACATTGAACAAATGTCTAGCCTTATTGTTATTATATATTATCTTTAATTCAAAGTATTTGATTTTCTGGTTTAATCTGACAATTATTCAACTATAGCTTGGGCCAGTTGCCTGGGCAATACAAGAAAACAAGTGGGATATATTCAATATTTGGAGTTTGTAGTGCATTAGATCATATATTATGTTGAAATGTTGAAAGTTTTGTGAGGACCATTTTGCAAATAAAGGAATTAGAATTAAATAAATAAAGTAAATACATCATTTCTATGAAACCCCTTTGTATCCTTTTCTTGAACGTTGAAAGAAAGAATATGAGAAGCAAGAGCATAAAGGAAGAATAGGAGAAAAGAATCGTAATCTATTGAAGCAGTTACGGATTGGAAGTGAAGCTCTGGCCTATGTGATACATTAAGATTTGGATGTTTATTTTGTGAAGAGCATAATCTGGATTGTTCTGTAACAAAAGCCAAAGGAGAAATGCAAGGTATACATATACTTATGATGTATGATCAATCTAGTTTGGAAGTGGAATCGATGATGATGATGATGATGATGCTGAATGATATAAGTAATTTAGTAAAATCTAAAGGGTGATTATACCCTTATATATAAGTGGATGAATGTATGTGTTTGTTAAAAGGGATATGTAACCTTATAATCAAGGCTTAGTTTATTATATTCAATGTAATTATTGTGTTATTGTATGCATAAATGTGGGCTAATCATTTTACTTATTTTAAAAGAGTGATTAATATATATTATTGAATTAAATATAATTGAAAAATACCATCTAATTTAACTAGAAGGGTATTTTAGTCAATTAATACAGATTTAATAAAGAAAATTTGCTTTATAAATTTCTTGTAGAATAACAAAATTCTCGAACCATCAATTGAAGAATTAAAAAAAATTACATTAATTCTTATAGAATACATGTAACAATTGCTAAGAATTACATTTATTGTTAAAGAATAAAACTAAAAAAACTTTCAAATCTGAAAAAAAAAACATCAAAATCTAACAAAGACACTAATACATTCTAAAAGAATAATGTTGCTAAGAGGCGTCGTTCAAATTTCGTGGTCCGTTCTTCAAGCATCAACTTCTGTGGAAACAAATCTAATGAATAAATTAGTGAGAAAATATCCATATTCCATTCCAACATAATTGGAATTCGTGATTCCATTCTGATAGAATTGGTCTCTAACTTATTTTTTTAACTCGGAAGGTCCCTACTGTTTGTTATTCCTACACGCTTGGTCCCTATTGTTTGTTTTTGTTACGCATTTGGCCTCTATCTTACGTAAAAAGACAATTATTTAAATAGGGAAAAAAAATGGTAGGGTAGATAACGTAAGGTGAGGGAGTAGGGTGGAGGTGTGTTTATTTAAATAAATTAAAAAATCAAGGGAAAAATACTTTTTATGTAAGACAGGGACCAAACGTGTAACAAAAACAAACAGTAGGGACCTTCCGAGTTAGAAAAATAAGTTAGGGACCAAACGCGTAAGTTACCCTAAACCATAGAGACTATTCATGTAATTTACCCTAAAATTAGTTTATTTCTAATCCAATAAGCTGATTTTTAAGGATTTTATCCAAATACTTAAACTTAACTTATTGTGGTGAGAATAAGCAATAAACAATAAACACCCTCTTTTTTTCCCATCCAAACACCCCCTGTTATTAATGAAAGGTAAAATTAAGAGGACATTGTTATTAAAATATAAAATAAATAAATTAAATAAATAAATAATACTCCCTCCGTTCCAATATTATTGTCAACAGACAAAAAACATACATATTAAGAAAAACATTAATTACCACTAATTTTCTTGAATAAAATGACAGTTTTATCCTTACCTTGCATTTAATGTTCCATTAAATCCTTAGTTGGTTAAGTAATAATGAGGGGGTATTTTGGTAAAAATGTTATTTATTTTTAGAAGTGGACTATTATTTTGGAACAAACCAAAAATAATGAGGGGGTATTTTGGTAAAAATGTTATTTATTTTTAGAAGTGGACTATTATTTTGGAACAAACCAAAAAGGAAAGATGGATTATAATTTTGTGGGACGTATTAATTAACAATACAAAACGTGCGCTAAGCAAAACCCGTAATTTTCCCCTGTATTACTTTACTTTGCTCTCTGGTTTCTTGTTTCCCAAATTCAAAACCCTCCGGCGATATCTCCTCCCCCTTCACTGTCGATTACTGTCCTTCGGCCGGTCTCCCCTCCTTTACCATCATCGGCGATTACTGTTTTCACCTGCTTGACCATCGTGGCGGGCACTGACGACTATCTGGTTACCGTTTTTTTAATACACGTCAAGCGTTGTTGTTGAAAAGGGGATTCGTGTGTGTGTGTGTGTGAACGACTATTTTCTATTGTCGAGGTACTTTGCCTTCTTGTATTTCTAACTTCATTTATTTGCATTGAAAAGGGGAAACGAAGACTTCATGTATTTTGCTATTTGCTACTGTCGAAACCTTATATGTGGGTATCTAATTGACTAGCTAAGCATGAGTACTTGACTGTTTGTGTGTTTGAAGCTATTGTTACTCGCAACAAACGCAGAGCTTGGGGCTCTCACTTTGATAGCTGCTGCTCACCACCAGTGACATGGTTTTGATTAAGCACCATGGATCTTGTCCATTAATAATATGTTTCATATGTTCCAAATGATATCTCATACATGTTAAGCTTATATTTTGTATAAGTGTGCCAAATGACATTTTCTTTAAGAAAATTTTGTATATGTTTAAATATTACTGACTATTGTACATATTATGTTTATATGATTTGAATTGATTCTATAAATATGTCAAAGAAAAGGACTGAGTTCTAGATAACACCAACATCAAAATCGATTATTTGATTTTTTGGACATCCACACACACCTACAGTAGTGATGACAAGTCTGTAAGGGCATATACTTTTCACATCTGGAACCCTTCTCTGTCTGTGGTGTTAACTCTCCCAGTAAGTTCTTTGCCCAAAGTTGGTTTGATGGCAAACCATGTCCGATTTGGGTATGATCCCAAAACTGACGATTACAAAGTTGTGAAGCTTACAAGAATTTTACAACCACCTGGAATGATATGGCAAGTAGAGGTTTATAGCATGAAAAAGGGTTCGTGGGAGTTTATTATTCAAACGTTTCCATTGCATCTCACACAGATTTCCGATCTAGATGATGAAACTTGTGCAGATGGCCATCTTCATTGGCTCTGTTATTGTGATGATCTGGAGCAGAAGCAAGAAACGATAGTGGCATTTGACTTGGGTGTAGATACATTCAATGAGATCCTTTTCCAAGTTCTATACTTCATCACCAATCACCATGGAAGTCGCTTTAATTACTTAGGAGTTTTGGCAGGAAAGCTTTGTGTGATGTCATGTGTTGACCATGGTGAGTGTGAGGTGTGGGTGATGGATGAGTATGGGGTGGCTGAATCATGGGTCAAACAAACATCATGCGTTTTCCCAGTTTAGTGCTGATATATTTCCATATGGATTCACATCACAGAATGAGTTTATTTTTTATGTTGGTGGTGGTCGTTTAGGTTTGTATGATCCAGTGTTGTCAATAGCGACCATAGCGATCGCTATAGCGAATAGCGAGGCGAGGCGATGCAGTGTCGCTATGGGGTTCATAGCGACTGAATAGCGACATAGCGACCTATTTGACTTTTTTTTAAAAATTTTTTTTATTTTTTTTATTTTTTAAATCTAGTATAAATAGAATTGTTTTAGGGTTTTTAGCTGACTAAGTCAAAGAGAGCATCGGATATCTAAAACTAACACTTGTTTTTTTGTAATATGCATGTTTTAGAACTTAATTGAGCTAATAGTCTTGGTTTTTAGCTTATTTATTAGTTATAATTGCTAATTAGGTGAAGGTAAAAGTAGTATTAATTTTTTAATAGGCATTCGCTAAAATGAAATAGCCATCGCTATTTCATCGCTATCGCCACATAACATATAGGTAGGTTGTCGCTATTACCTCGCTATCGCTATCGATAACACTGGTATGGTCCAGTTGAAGCCAAGACTAAAATTTTCAATATTACGCGTGGATTTGATATAGATAAAATTGTTAAGTATGTTCATAGTCTTGTTTGGGTAGCACCCACCAAGAGTGAGATGAGATGCTGAAGCGTAGTTTCAATTTTGAAGAAGCTTCGGCGGATGGCAGATTGATTAAAGGGCTACAAAAGGCAACATAGCGGATCTACTTCTTTCTATCATTTTGTTATAACTACTGTGCATGATGGCTGATGCTATGTTTATTAATTAGTTTTCTGTCAAATGTCGCGCATTATATCAACATTCTCGTTCATCAGCATGATGTGTTTGACATTATTGTTCAATTTGCTTTTGTGCTGCTATGAATGCAGACAAGTTTTATCATTAGTTCATTTGTAAATTATGTTGGTGGTATTTATGGTTTGTTTTTATTGCTCTTTTTCCATAAGCACTGAGTAAACGTCTAGCCTTATTGCTCTCCAAGGAATCTTTTATCTTTTTCCTTGACCTAATTATCTTGGGCGCAAATCTAATAGGAAATATTAATAGATATCGTTGTTGTATTATAACATGTATATCCGGTAGAATCATTAAAAATATTGTAAAGATGTTGTAGATTATCTTGTCTAATTTGTAGGCACTCTGATACAGAGGATAAGCAACGATTCCAAAATTTATTTTGTTATGGTATCAAAGCAAGAATCGATCATTTCCTAACCCTAACTATTTTTCATCGCCAGCTGCCTTTCTCTCTTGTTCTCTACCACCTTCTTCTATTTCAATGGCTCTCCACCGTGCTCTCATTGTTACCAACATTCACAATTTTATTCCCATCAAACTTGAGATGGAGAACAACTCCTACACCTCCTCGTTAGAGCTCTTTAAGTTTCACTGTAGGGCTTTTGAAGTCATCGACTTCATCATCCCTGGTACTTTAGTGGATCTATGGTACTACCTCCCATGATCTCCTTCACACTATCTTCACTCTTGACTCCACTGCGGCGACAACCTTCACAAACATCTACCAAGACAACAAAAATTCTTGAGTTGTCTATATGGAACAGAAGCTGACCACCACCTGTCTTGACAGTATCTCCGATGTGCATTCCTATTGTCAAGCCATGAAATTGCTTGTTGACCAACTCGCTAATGTTGGAGCTCCCGATCTCCAACAAAGGCCTTGTCTTACAAATCATTGCAGGTCTCTCCGAGCAATATGATGGGATTGCCATGCTGATTCAACAATTTGATCCTCTTCCCGAGTTGACGAGTTTTATGATGTCCGATCCAATCTTATTATGAAGGAAACCTGAAAGTCCAACCAAGTGTCCCACACGACTTTGATCTCCACTTCAAAGCCAGGAACTACACCTTCTCCTCAGCCATGGGTTGCAATGGCAGGGGCCGTGGCAACTTCAACAACTAGGGGCGTGGTCGAGGTAGGGGACGAGGCAATAATGGTTAAGGTCGTGGCTCGCAACACCAATACCAACATCAGGGGTCCTTTTCTCCCAATCGTGGACCTCTTTCTCCTTGGAATAACGGGCAACAACAACATTCCCAAGGCCCTTTCCTGGCCGGTTCCATCACCACAACCACCATACGGACAACGTCCTCATTGGGTTGTCCCACATTGCCCTCACATGACGATGCCACAACCTACACCACACACAATCATTAACTCCTGAAGCATACACTAATATTCATGGTCCTCGTCATCCCTCCTTTTACGACAGCTACGGCGTTGGTCCCACCTCTACAGATATCGAGCAAGCATTACACACCATGTCCCTCAACCCTCCGGACAAAAAAAAAAAACATGGATACCAATGCCACATCCCATATGACAAACAATTCAGGTCCTCTCTCGTCTTATTGTAACAATAATACATTAAATGATATCATGGTCGGTGAAGGTTTAGAATACCTATACATGGATCCGACCATACCATTTTAAAACCATCATTTCCACATCTTAAACTTAACCACATTCTTCACTCTCCTCGTCTTATCAAAAATTTATTATCATTTTGTCGATTCACAATCAACAACCAAGTTTCTATTGAATTTGATGTTTTTGGTTTTCTTGTGAAGGACTACCAGACGCAGACACCTATACTTCGATATAACAACATCAGGGACCTTTACCCGCTTCTTTCTTCTTCAATACAAGTTGTCGCTCCCTTTTCCTTTTCACCTATACTTCGATATAACAGATAGGGCAATGATGTTTTCCATGATAATTAAAACAAAGATTTCGGAAAAACACACCTTGTAGAGGAACCCTAGTTGGAATATATTTGATTCGGACGAATCACAAGGGTAACAGAAAGATCTACAAGATTTTTATTGGCTATCCATTAATTCTTTACTGCTGAATATTGTTTGAATTGGGTTAGTTGATGAGTTTTTCTCTCTTGAAAATCAAGAAAAGAACAAAAGAAAAAAAAAGTAGTTAGAGATTATTTATATTTAAGTACCAAATCAGATTTGATTGAGTCAATGTTTGAGTGACTAAATATGGGGTATGTCCGTGATTAAGTAAAAGGGTAGAAGACCGAATCAAATGCAAAAAAAAAATGGTGTTAAATAATTTGAATGTGACTAGTCATAATCGATACCCAAGTAAAAACGTATTCTTCATAACAAACTCACAAAAGATGCTTCCGACATGCCACCATCCGCACATGTACTTTAAATACAAATTATATAATTTATTAGCATTTGACAATGTTTTTGTATCTTAATGTTTTTTAAACCGACAAATCTAGGGGTGTCGAACGGGTAAAATTTTCGGGTTTCGGGTAGAACGGGTCGGGTAGAACGGGTATTTCCTTAAGAAAATAATACCCGATACCCGACCTATATTGTAATTCGGGTATTCGGGTTTGAGGTAGGGTCGGGTAATTATCGGGTATACCCGAAAATTTTTTAAATGACACTTATTGATAATTTTTTATTTTTTTATTTTTTTATTTTTACATGTTGGTTGGTTTAATAAAGAATCGGGTAGGAAAATACTCCATACAATTAACAAGTACATATATAATAACAATACAAATCATTATAATATGTTATGTACTTTTTTAATTCCATTCCGTGCGATAGTGAGAAACTGAGAATTGTGATGACGGTTCAAGATTTCAGCTTCAGCGTCGTATTCCCTTTGCAAGTTTGCGTCGACCGTCGAGCCGTCGTTCATAAGAAGGAAACGAAGGGTTTTGTTTTATTTGAAGTGTGCGTACGTGACTGCATTGTATATTTGGTATTATTTAAAAAATGAATTCGGGTATACCCGAAAATAAATATTCATACCTAAAACCCGACCTATATTATTATCGGGTTAACCTATTACCCGAATGTTCATACCCGTTACCCGTTCTACCCGACCCATTCTACCCGAATTCGGAACGGGTCGGATAGGTAGAACGGGTTTCGGGTTTTTTCGACAGGCCTAGACAAATCTAATCTACTACTAAGTTATAACCTAATTCTACTTATATTATCCAGGACAGGACTTACCCTCGATCTCAAAAAGGAAAGACATCACCTACTACATAAACTATTTGTTTTTTTTTTGTACCTTAATGATATTTGTAAAATAAATAGTTTATTACCCTTTTATGAGTTTATCCACCCCAAAAGAAGCTCTCGCGGCCGCGCCACTTGTAACGGCTCTCCGTCCTCGCTCCGCACAGTATCTCGCTACTAACCGCCGCTCTCCGTCAGTGATCTCACGGGCTCTTGCTGTCACCGCCTGTTGCTGGTATGTCTGCCTGATTTTGTTAGCGTCCCTTTTCAACGATACGCAGACACCGGAAAACGAAATTTGCAGAATTGTTACCAAGGTCACCAAAAACAGCCTAATATTGTCCTTAAACCCCATCTTCATCAGCTAATTGACAGTTAGCAAATGAATACACCGTAGCGTACTAGCATGCCTACAAAACATAGAATACAACAAAGTCAATGTCAATGTGTACAGAGCTAATTCTACATATGTTTTGATGTTGGGGTTGTGTTTAAATTAAAATGCTTCGGTCATAGTTATATTTTTATTTGGATTTAAGTTATTATTCTTGTTGAGAATCCATATGTTCAAGGTTAAAATGTGTTGATCTTTTTGTTGGTTTGTGAAGTTGTAATGTTTTAAACTTTTTGTACATGTTTTTTTGAACAGCAGTCTACCTCATAGTTGAAGCGGGTGGGATTCAAATATTTTTTTGTTTTTATCTCGTTGATTGGGATCAGTCATAGACTAAGTGTTCCTCATCTTTAAAGCCCAAACATACACCTCTAAGCAGAAGTACATAACATTTCATCTGAAAAGGAGAAAAAAGACAGGCAAAGTCTACCTTGGCACTTAAAAATGGCTTCACCGGGACACCCAACAACGAATATGGAGAATCTCCCAGGCGAAGTTTTATCAGACATATTCATGCGGTTATTGGCCAAACAGCTTGATC